CCCCCCCGCCCCAAAGAAAATCCACACTAATCAAAGTGTTTATATGGGGAAGGGGCCAGAACTAATGGGAAAAAAAGTGGGAGAGAACTGAGGTTGAACTGAAACTAACCAAACAGGATATCCCTAAGACCAATGAAAATGCCCCACAGTCACATTTGAACCTTGGACTCCAGCCACGCTAGCCTTTCCAAGAAATCCCAGCATATTTTCTGCTCTCCAAGGTGTCAGACCCATTGCATATTAGCCTCTGATTGCACCAAAAACTTTTTCTTAAAGCCTAGGTGAGCCTTCTTTTAGTTAGGCTATAGGATGTTAGCAGTGATCATTTATATTAGTTGGGCACCAACCCACCCCCTCCCCAGCCCAGATTCCTAATCTTAATGGAACTGAGAGTTAAGAATGATTTTTTAATGTCTCGTTGGATTTTTAGACTGTTAATGTACCGAATCCTTCTCATTATTACTTTATTGATTGCTCATTGACCAGCCCCCTTCAAATCGTATTAACCACCCTCTGCCGGTTTAGATTAGGAGAGTTTAAAAAGCACCTTTCATTACTCCCTCCACTCCTGCCTTGGAGTTGAGACTCGGCATCTTAATGGGAGCTCTAATGGGGCAGCTAAGAGGAGAGGGGCCACGGTCCCTGCCGATTGCATTAATAGCTCAAAGGGGGCCAATACAGAAAATTAGCCGTAAACGAGCTCTGGAGATCTTCAAATGAAAGAGCCATTTATCACGCTGGCTACCTTCACTCCACTCGTTTGCTCTCTCTACTGGGAACAACTCATTTCCTCTTAACTAAATTACTTCAGAAATGTCAGCTAAGCCCAGATAGCAAACATAACAAGAGAGCTAGCCTATAATCTATGGGGTGATATCGACACGGGTGAAAAATTGGGCTGGTTAAATTTTAGGAGAGAGTCCTTCCATAATTAGAGTGAGAAACATAGAGACATATATCTTTTTTGCCCAAGTCTTCTGGCTTCAGTATACGTAATGGCAGAGACATGCGAACCTGGATCAGTGGCTACAATTTTTTTATTAATGAGGTAGACTTTTTAAATCTTTCTACAAAAAATAAAAATTATAAAAACTCTCTAAAAGCCCATTAGAAAATAAATTAAGCAACCAAGTTCCTTGCCAGTTGTTGAAATTTAGAAAATTTAGTTCAGAAACTTTCTCACCTCCTTTTTTATGAAATTAATCTCTGGGAGATATCCCTTATAAGGGGAGGGGAGGGGACAAAGAGGGCCAGGAAGGAGCAAGTGAATCCATAGCCTCAAGTGGTTCATAGTTATCTATAACAGTAAATCAGCCACTTATTCCTATTTTGCCCATGACTCTCTAGAGATAAACATATATTAGGATCTTTTCTTCATGTAATAAAGCAAATACCTAAAATACTAAATAATGGAGTTAACCTAAAACTTCATATTCATACCTTATCCCCTAAATCAATAAAGTGACTGGGGTGCCACTTAGTTATTTAAAGCTGCACAATTTAAAAAAAGGGCTTTCAGAGCCAGAAAAAGTACTCCGTGTTTTCAAAACAGAACCAGCAACTTTAGTCCATATTCTCCTTTATTACTGGAGATACCCTTCTACATAGATAATCACCTTTTGCTGACAAACATATACAAGCCCTGAAACCAAAGCATCCCACATCTAAGAATATTTTCAGCTCCGCTTTGTTAAGCAAGCTAAGTTCCAAATATTTTTATTTGCCTACCTATTAATAATATTTCTGATTGGTCATCTGTTGGGCATGCCCCACTGACAGCCCAAATGTTGCTTCTAGGATACAGAGCCCTGAGATAAGGGGTTCTAGCCTTCCCTGAAAAGGGAGGGGGAGCTGAAACAAAAAAGCCAATGGAGCAGTGCCTCCCCACCCTCCCCTACTCATCCCCATTGACCAGCAATTAACCAAAAGAGAAGACCCCAGAGGAAATGGTGAAAGTGAGCTGTCAGGACAGTTGCAAATCTAAGCACCAAGCCTGGGTGTCCGAGCAAACCCAAAAGCTGGCATTAAAAACTGAAATGATACTATCTAAAGAATAGAGGGAGGGATGTTTGGAGCAACACTTAGAATAAAGAGTTTTGCCCCAAATCTTACTATTCTTCTTCAAGATATTACATTCCAAAGCCAAATGGCATTATTCCAAGTACAGCTCCCCTCCTCCCATCCTCCACCTCTTAAAGCCACTTTTTCTGTCTCTGTAAAAGAAGATAATTTAGAATACCTCACCCTGTTTGGAATTCTGATTTCACGACCCTCCTACTGTAATGCCTTGACTTTGGGTTACTTTCCAAAGTGCTTTTTCCTTAATTGTTTTTGAGTGTCATGTGGCTCAAATTAATCATAAATGACTGAAGCTAGGGGTTGTTGACACCAAATATAAGGACGGGCCTTTTCCAGAATCGATAAGAAAGGGTTACAGTAGTTAAAATTGTATCTCCAAATAGCAGTTCTTGCGATAATTAAAGATTGCACTGTTTACACATTCAAGCTCCTAAATTGGTGGCACGTGAGTGACATTCGGGCCTTTCGGCAGCCACACTAATCGCTAGGCATTCTCTCAGTGACTGTCAGAAGAGAGGGGGAAAAATTAAGCAGCTGCAATACGCCCGAAATGAGTTATTGTAATTACATTTAATTAGTTTAATTAGTTAATTATTTTGCTTACAGCTGTACAAGAGACTGCAAACATTTGTTAATATCACATGCCCTTTAACAGTATGGGGTGATTCCACAGTCACACTAAATCATGAATGCATATGTAGAAAGATTTAGAAATGTGCATAGGCTGTCTCAACTCCTTAGGATGTGCATATTTAGCAACACATTTGGCACAATTTTTAAAAAAATAATAAGAAACAACTCATAAAACACAGAGAACTGGAAACAGAATTACCACACACACAAATCAAATGCAAAAACAAGAAGAGGAACTATCTCAACAACATAGGGTTTAGCTCAGCAAACTCCAGTTATCAATGAAATAATTATAGCACATTTTTGAAAACTGTTTCCTAGTCAGTTTCATACATGATGGTAGTTCAATTATTTAAGATATATCTAGAATTGCTACCAAATGTACCATGAGAAAAATGTCAATAGTCTCTGTCCCTCTGTCTCTTATCTGGGTTTCTGCCTTTGGTTGCCCCCACCCCCAAATTTCCTTCTTCCCGACATGCCTTTTTCATCTAGACAGCCCCTGTCCTATGATTGTGAACAAACATTTCTGTCTTATAAAATAACTAATTCCCCCAAAGTGAAAACTCATAAAGACATGACTGCACAGGAAAACTTTGCTTACTTTTGGGAGGAATAATCCATACCTTTTTTTATGACAGACTGGTCCAATAGATTCATGCCGCTGTTATTGGCATCTTCAACTGACTGTGAATATAAAAACATCACTATTCAAATTGACTGGATATTAAAGAATTGCACACATAAATCATGTCATTCCAAACTGGAGTTCCTGTTATTTCCATTTATATTAATTCACAAAGGGAGGTTTTATTATTATCATTATTACCTCCAAATCAACATAGAAATGAAATTCACCCAAATTATAAATTCTTCCAATGGAAGCAGAGGAAAAAGGAACTGTGAGAGACATCTGGGATGCAGTATTGGTTTAGTTATTATATTAAACATAGATGTTACACAGACATATAAAGTTTTATATTATTTGCTCTTATGAATTGTGAAAATTTGGCAATAGCTGAAAGATTTTCACCAATATTAGAAAGAATAATTTCTGTTTTCAATTTTATCCCAGCGCATCTTAACCCTAGAGTCATTTTACAAATACATAATAGTTTACATTATGGGATTTTAATTAAAGTCTGAGCAATTTGGAATGGAATGCAAACAGCAACACATAGGAACACGTTTGCAAGCTGGCAGGACCGCACGCCCATGCAGTCCATACATGTCCTTGTGTGCTATGAATTTCTTGCTGTGTGATAATCCCTGAGAGGAACCTGCACAGTTTGCTCCACCCCCCCAATCCTGCTGCTGCTACTTCCCAGCAAGAAGCGCACCTGTTAGGATGGCAGTAATAACTACAGACACACGGATACAGAGACTCAGATCCTCCCAGTCAGCACCTAGGTAATGGCAAAGAGCATTCATCTTCTGTGCCACAGTCTTATCCTAAAGAAGGAAAGTTTCAACCCTGGGTGTTGGCAGCACTTCTGAGGGAAAAGAGCTGTTGGGATGAGTTTCTTACTGTCAGGATGCACAAGAACAGAGTTTTGGCTGTGCATCCCAGAGCATCCAAAAGCATTGTATTCCCTCCTCCACCCCCCAATGAAAAATAAATGCTAGGTCTTTCTGAAATGTCCTGCTGCTTTCCCTGATTCTTAGAAACCCAAGTTTGGACCAATTTGTCACCCACTCTACAGAGAAGTAAAGAGCAAGGGCTTGAGAGTGAGGCTGTGTTTTCACAGCACCTTCCACCCACTCACAATGCATCCCCAGACAGGGCGTGTGTTCATCACAAGGAAGAGACTGTCTACCCCAAACAAGCAGCATTAGAAATGAGATGATCTAATCACGAAGGGAGCATGTTAATTTGTTTCTTTTCGTTTTTAATAGTCACTCTTCAGTTGTCGGAAAGGTGAGGAAAATTGTTATTCTCCGTAAGAACCGTTTTCCATGTTGCAACATGCCATGTACATATTAAGAAATAGTAAAAGCTTCTTTAAAAAAGACTTCATATAACTTGTTCAAAACTCCTCAGGAGACCCCACCACGCACAAGCGCGCGCGCACACACACACACAAACACACACACACGATTCACGCCTTGCTATGCTCACGTGTCTACAATGCGAGGTGTCCACTCAAGACAAAAGTAATCGCCTGTGTCTGTGGGCGGGCAGGCCCGGGATCTCAGGGGCCAGGACCCGGGCGCCCCCACACCTCACCCTCACGTCGATACGTAAATATGTATATACGCCTCATCAGCGACGTGGGGGTAGTTGTGGTAGTTAATGAGAAGGCTCTTGTCTGATTTTCTATCTAATTACGGCCGCCTGCTGGGTTTTTGTACAGGATATTCACGCAGCATGCTGGCGCTTAATCGTCACAGGGAGGATCGTAAAGATTTAATTAGGACTGCATGCGGAAGCGCAGAAAAACAACTCAGACTCGTAATTACTAGACTTCTTTAGTTAAAAGTGATACCAGGGGTTGCTTTAAGACACTAGGATGTGTTTGAGTGTGTGTGTGTGTGCGTGTGTGTGTGTGCGCGTGTGTGGTGCATTTGACAACATCCTGATATGTTTATACTCAGGGGTAGTAGAGGTGAGAGAGGTTAGAGAGCAAAGATTGGAAGAAGAGGTGTTCATGACAACTAAACTCCAAACTAGGTGTCATCTCACTCCATTCTGATGCTGTTTTTCTGAGTTTTTAACACTGCATCCCCCCAACACACATACACACAATGGGTGAAATGTAGCATACCCAGAACCCAAACAGCGATTTGCTAGTTTAATAGCCCCTGTGAGTAAATTGAAATAGAAATTGACAGGGTTTTATAGTTTCATTTAAAAAAATATTAGAAGCATTTGGTTAATTAGCTCCTCTCCTCCTCTTCTCTCACGGTCGGGGCGGTGGCCCTCCGCGTGTGTGTCTGGGTCACCCAACATAGCCCCATACCAACCCTCGGCCAGGTGATACCCCTAGCTAAGAGGCCCACCGGCCCAGCAGCGCCCTGGGGATCTGTCTGGCCCGCGGCTGGAAGGAGGGGGGAGGAATCCGGAACACATAATAGGTTCTTGAGATCGAACAAGTGACTGAGGTCCAGGCCGAGGCACTCTCTGGTCCCTTCTCAAAGACTGTTCGGGCGCAGCCAACCCAATCGGTAGCTACAAGTAACGGCGAGATCCCGACAGGCTCGTAACTTCAGCTCCCCCCTCTCACCTCGCCCCTTGCGCTCCAGATCCCTAATTCGGAAGTGGATCCTCCGGGATGGAGCTGATGAGGCACAGCCTCTGCATTCGGGTTCTGGTCCTAGGTACATCTCCTCCCCGGTCTTTCTTTGTCACCTGCCCCGTGTCGCGGCAAGCACACCCAGGCCTGGGACGCCTGTCATCGCCACGGAAACCGAGATCGTCCCCGCTGCCTGGGAGAGGCGGGAGGGGGGGGTGTCTCCCCCTAACCCCCTGCACTGAGGGTCGTCCAGATAAAGTCCCGCGAGCCACCCCACGTCGCCAGAGGAGCGGCTGCGAAGCTTCTGGGGGAGGAACAGGGCAGAGGTGTGTGGGTGGGGAGCATGCGTGGGCCGGGGCCTGCACCTTCTCTCCTCTGGGCTCTTTGCACTTCGCGGTCCGCGTTCCGACGCAACAACTCAGCCAGCCGAGCGACGCTTTGACGAGGCTGTTCTCCCCAGTACATACTGAACTGGTCCTGTTCTCTCGTCCTTTGCATTTGGCCAAACACTCAAAACCCCTCACAATTATATCTTTAAAAACTAACCTAAACCTAAACTAAACTGAAACCCAAGAAATCTATTCCCTCTTTTGAGAGAATTCCTGGGTTCAGTTGACTGAGTCACTCGGCCTGCAGGGTGATGATGACGCCGCCAGTGTGTTGGCATTGCCAACAGCAGTGGTGATGAGTTGATCCACTTTCATTATCTAGCACTTTGAGCGTACTCAGAAAGGTTAATTTCAGAACTTACGCCCCCCCCCCAACACACACATTACCCCAGGACATTTTTTTTAAAAAGCTCTTAAATATTTCCTTCTTGTATGGTATTCCGAAACGAGCAATCCCTCCAGACAGGGATAATCAAGCTTGATTAAACCAACAAAACGATCATTCTTATTACTACAGGTAAATCCAGCCACAAATCAGGTGATTCCATCATTTTTGGAAATAATAAATAACTGAATTTCCTTTAAAACAATAAGCCATCATAGACTACACACAGGCAGCATTTGATGCTGTCACCACATTTTAACTGTTCAAAATACTTTTTTTTCCAAGTAAGGTAAAAAAGGACTCAAGTACTTTTTTTTTTCTTCCCCATTTCATTTTTCTTTGCTTTAGAGGTATGTCTAAAATGATGCATAATATACACAACTATGCCAATGAGACAGAAGTGTCAAATACCTTTCAACCATATTTATCTTTTCTGCAGACTATTTAAATTAGGGAGCAAAAGGAGACCTGCTCAGAATCACCCAGACAGTTTTTAGAAATCGTTTCTTTGATGTTTCTTTGTTTAGTTTAACCAAGTATTCTCAACCAAATCAGGCTCCATTGTGTAGGTTGCAGATGGGTTAGGGAGTGGGTGGGGGGAGTGTGTTGAGCCTTTTGTTTTAAGAAACAAACACGTGATGCCTCTTTAACTGGGATAGTGGCTTTGGGGAGAGGAGAGTATTAACGGAGGGGGAGGACTGAGGAGGGATGTGGAGAATATTGTTCCACAGTCATTTAATGGATCAAAAGGTGAAAACAATCTCCAAAATGGTATGTGTGCTCTTGGACTCCCAAGCAGAATTATGGCTTTCTGGGTCTCTCCCCACAATTATTCCATTTCTCAGGAGATGACTCTGGAACTCACTTATCTTGAAAAAGGGCTCAGCAGCTTATGAGACATTCAAAGTAGGACCTGGTTTGGACAATCATAGCACATGTTTTTCTTCCCATGTGCATTGTCATGCTTAACATCCAGCAGGAACCTCTGGAGCCCAAGAGGACCTTGTGCCTCTCTGCTGAAGCTCCATACTCTAGGCAGCCCAGTCTTTCACCTGCCTTGTCAGGAGGCCAGGCCCACTATGGGACACTCATGGGGAGTGGGTTGGGAAGGGTGCCCAGCTTGCTAGCACAAAGTGCAGGAGAATAGGAAGTAGCTAAGGCAAGACAAAAAACATCTAGCCTTAATTCTGGTGATGCTAAACTATCAACACACGCATATATTTTTCTCCTTCATGATTTCATTTCTAGTGGTTCCAGCTTTCATAAATGGACCTCCAGAAATCACCACTACAGAGCCATACATGTATAACACAGAAACAGTTATATATGTGGTGTCCAGCTATTCCTGTTCTAAAGATGGAAACTACCTCCGCCAAAGGATACCGAGCCCCCCTCCCCCACCCCTCCCATCTCCCAGGGCATTCACTATTTATTTATTTATTGTCCTTTTCATTTGTTTGTTTGTGGTTACCTGGACGTCTTCCATTCCGGGATGGCCGAGGCCATGCAGCGAGAGGCTGTCACCCATGCCCGCGTCCAGGCCGTGGTGCGCCGAATGCAGCAGCACGTCTGGCCGGCGGACCGAGTGGTAGTCCCTCCGGGGGTCGAGGCCGGAGAGCTGGGGCAAGGCTGCCCGTGGCTGGGGCAGGAGAGAGCCGGCTTCCGAACCCACTTCTTGCCGCTGCCGTTGCCCCCAGGGATGCTGCTGGGGCTGGTGCAGTGGATTCAGGGAGTAGGGGTCGTTGACGTGGGAGTAGGGATCCTGGCTCTGATGGTAGGGGAGCGGCTGGTAGGGAGGCGGGAAGTAGGGCGGCTGGAAGTCTGACGACGGGGTGTGGGACAGCGGCGGGGCGCTGGAGTAAGGTCCCTGGGATACCGAGCCCAGCTGGGAGAGCCTGGAGCTGTGGCTCGGGACGCCATCGTGCCGGTCCTGGGAGCAGAGAGAAGGAGAGAGAGAGAGAAACAGAGTGACAGAGACAGAGCGAGAGCGAGAGCGAGAGCGAGAGAGAGAGAGAGAGAGAGAGAGAAAGAAAGAAAAAAAAAATACAAGCGACTAATGGAGAAGCCCGGCTTCCGTATATTCTTCCCAGGACAGGGGAAGCAAGAGTCTGAAACTTATACTCCCAAGTTGACTCAGAGGGCACATGATTTCAGCAATTCCAAACGCCAGGCTTTGGGGGAAAAATGGGGGAGAATCACCACCCACTTAACCAACATCTGAGCCTTGTGTTGGGAGTGCAAAGCGGGCAAAAGGGGTGAGGGTAAAGTAACTATGTATGGGAAGAGATTCTAAATTCCTTGGTTAAAAATATAGGAGCCTTACACAGAGTATTTCCTCTTCTGGGTATTTTAAACTATTTTTCCTAATCTTTCAGAGGTCCAAAGCATAACAAATTAAACGTCATACTTTTTGCTGTGCTGCTCCTGTTCAAAACCAACTTCGGCCTTCAGTGGCAACCCAGCCAGCTGACCAAGAGCTCCCCACACAAACCTGGTAATTCCAGGAGCTCTGAGGAATCTGCCTGATCTGAGTTCCCAGTCACCCCTCCCTCCCCAAGAGGAATTAAATAATTTAAATAGTGTTTGATTGAAATGGATCTCATTTGAAATCATACCCTGACCCCACGTCAAATTAAGTTAAATTGTGGTTCTGAGGAGTTATTTCTAAGGTTGCTTTTCTGTATCTAATGCTATTATACTCCAGGGTGTGAAAATGAAGGACCTGGGGTTGGGAGGATAAAACAAGAAAAAGCCCAGACAACTTACTGTTGGTTCTATCTGGAGTAGCAAACTAAGTGGAAGGAGAAGGGGGAGGTGTGTGTGTGAGAGGAGTGTTTAAGTTTTTCCCTCTCCTCTGTGGAAATGCCTTGGTAAAGTCCCTCTGGTTCTTTTTGGAGAAATAGTCACCTAAATTTCCAAACTGCAATGGCAAATAAAAAGTTTTTCTCTGCGGCCTCCTCCCTCCCCAGCTGACTCATGGAGCTCAGACGGAGAGCACACAATGCAGAGAGAAGCAGCTGCAGCCTCGTCCAATTACGGTGCTAAATTACCAAGCCAAAGGCGCTCAAAGGAAGACAGAGACAGAGAGAGTGAGGCACACGCACAGAGATGGAGAGACAGAGAGACAGTGAGAGGAGGGAGCATGCAATTCTGGTACAATGTGAATCCAAACTCACCATGGATGAATAGGTGTGGACTAACATCTGGAAAAAAAAGCCTGGTTACTGCTCAAAATCAAACAATGATTAAAAAAAAAAAAAATCAAGGAGTCCAGCAGAGAAACGAGCTGGACACAGGAGCCGAGCTTGAGGGGTTTCCAGGACAAGCCATCAAAAAA